AATTAGAGTGTTGCAGTAATAAACCCTAGAAAATGTTACTGTGTAGGTTTCTTGTCGTTTTATTCAGTAAAATGAATGAAACATTGTCGTAGTGGCCTTTCCCTAAAGTATATTTAAGTTTTTTTTTTTTTTCAATTCTTTCAATATTTAAATTAGATAAAAAAAACAAATTAGATCAAAAGAACAAACCTATGAAGAAGTACAATAATTCTAAGGGACACACAAACTCATAAATGATATGGACAATAAATTTCTTAGACATAGTCAGATTTCGTATAACAAAACGACACAATCAAAATTCGAAAAAAAAATCCACCTAACTTGATAAACAGTACTTAGGATCTAAAACCGTATCCAAATACGTCTATATAGAAATGTAATAAAATTTCTTTGAAACATAAAGCATCACACAATCTTTTACTTTTTGGGATTGTTATTCCTCCTGCAAATCAGACAAGTTCCGATCTAAATCATTGGCTCCGTCGTCACGGCCAACCAAACCGCCAAGTAAAGACGGTCACACCACCAAGTAGTATAGTTCAGTCCTAGCCAGTACACAGTTTAGAACTTTGGAAAACTGAGAAAAAGCAATTAATTAAGCGACCGTGGAAATGATCATTACTTCATAAGTGAAAAAAATTATAAGCCATGATTCCAAAATGTGTGCCCGAGAGAGTATATGTGGACGGGACTGTGATAGCTTTTGGATGAAAGTATACACAGCAGTGACACGTGGAAAATGTTGACCCGACTAGTCTCTTACAGTTTTGGATAATTTTGTGTTAAGAATCAAACTGTAATTCGAAACCCAAGTTGTATAGATATTTTGAACTTTTTTTTTTCTGAACTAAATTTATCTGAAAATGGAATCCAGCCTTAAATCGTACCAAACCCTTTCTGTTTTTTTTTTTTAAATAATAATAATTGCAAATTACGTGTAACAAAAGTCTTCCAACGTCGTTGACGGAACCACCTTCGTAAGTTGTAACGCTAGCCAAATTGTTAAATGACGGTTATACCCTCACCACTTAACACTAATGACGAGTTTAACCTAAGAAGCTCTGTTCCCAGTTCTCATGGAGACGGAACATTCAGCAAGATTAGTTCTCGTCTAGATGACATGACAATAACGGTCGTTCCACACGGAAATGACGATTATGCCCTCAAACCTGACTAGTACTACAACAAACTAATAACTGTTTTATCCAAAGGAGCTTTCTTTCATGGAGAAAAAAAACATTCATTGAGACAAATAAAGAGAGTTAAGACTAGATGATAAATATATGACTAATGGTTGAGCAACCTGAAAATGTTCCCAAACAAAAGATGCAGAAACATAAAAAAGGATAAATAAAGACCCGGCCTAGTGGCTCCAATCCGTTTTATCCTAATTTTACAACAGAGGTTCACACCGTTTCCGATTCGTCTGAAGAAACTACATCCATAACTCATAATACTACTAGGGAGGTTACAGCTAAAACGC